TGGGGGCAAGTTCCATTACTACAGCAGTACAATGCATCAAAGTCGAACCATCCTTGACGTTTTGTTGCATTCAAATTGTAAAGAGTAACTTTACTAATATGATTACTGATCATGCTGTACTGTCTTTCAGGAATATCCTGAGCCAAATTCTTCGACCAGACAATATCTTTAGAAGAAACAGTCCTGCCGTCATGTCTATAGATGCAGTGAAAAGAAGCATTAGATCCAACACTTGTCAGAATTCTAAGTGGGAAGTATATAACGCCTGTAAAGGGAGGGAAAGAACAGGATATCAGAGACAGACAAACAAACAAACAAAAACCACCCTTCTTTTAAGCAGTTTTTACCATTTAACAAAAGATTCACAATGCATTCCAGGACTCTATTTCCAAAACCAAATTGTGTTAAGAGACCAAGTAGTTCTGTAATTCCCCTTTTATGTATAGTTAGTTAATGTCCCTAGTATTTTACAACTTTGCTGAAAATGAAGACGTGAATGAATTACTGATGAAAATCAAAGGGATCTTCTGTATTGACTAAACCTGCACATAAATAAAACAAAAATCCTCACAACCAAGGCAATAAACAATATTAGTAAAACAGAGAAATGGCAGGAATTGTTGAATAACTCATTATACATGGCCCCAAATCAACACTCTTCAAAACAGCAGTCAAGAAATCAAGTGAAACATTAAATTGGGAAGACCTGTGCTAAAGAGAAAGGGTGGCATCAAGATGCTCATGACCTAAACCACAGTATTGCCAGTCACTTCATGTTCATGTGATAGTTGGATATATAGTTGGATATCTAGGAGGGCTGTTCCTTGAAAAGAGATCTGATGCTTGGAAGGGTGGAGGGTCGGTGAAGGAGAGAAAGACCCTCAACCAGGTGTATTGACACAGTGACTGTAGCAATGGGCTCTTGTGTGTCAGAGAGTATGAGGATGGCACAAATTTAGAACCTGGTTCAGATCCACTGTTCATAAGGTCGTTATGAGTCGTACTTGAAGACACCTAACAACGACTACAAAAGCAACAACAAACCTTGGTATAATCAATAAAACACAATGTCTTCATATATTATGTCAACTGTCTAGCACAACTCTTAAAACAAATCCCAGTGAAACAAAAGGGGGCTGTATTTTGGGTACTATTGCCTTGTTTGGATATATGAAAAGTCTAATAAGCAGGTAAATTAAATAAGATAAAATGGAAAACTTATGAGTTGTAAAATGAATGGTGGATATAAAAATGGGAAAAACTTTCAGTACTGATTTGTAAAATAATTTTGGGTTATTTAGAGCCGATAAGTTATAATTAAAGAAACCATGTGACTTTGGGAGTGCAGTGCAAATTCTTACCACTAGGACATCAAAGTAAAGTACTTGTTGTTGTTGTTGTT